TTGAAAAGTACCATTATTTGACATAAGTATAAACATACAAATGTTTGGAGTTTGTGCAATGTCTGTTAGCTATCTCAAACACCAAAAAATGCTAGTCCTTCACTGATTAGTGGTTTGATGCTTACTCTAGGCTTTTATTCAACATGAAGCAAGTATATATATAGTAATACTCTTTTGCGGTAATACTCTTTTGCGGTGCGCTATGATGCAACTATTAGGTCTTCTTAGAGCACCTAAAATAACCACAGAAAAAATGTGTATATATATATTTTTGAACCATATTGATACGTTTTAATCTAGTTTGGTTTACAACTATCGAACATCCTTTACCCAATCTTTTAAGGAAAACATTTTGGATTTGATCCAAGGCTCCAATAAAAGTACTTTTAAAAAACACATCATTTGATACCAAAATGAGGTGAAAATCATAAAGTTTGTCAACAAAATAATTTTTTTTTTCATATAAATATGACCTCTAAGCCACTCATTAGCCACTCCCCATAAAAATTGGTTGTCGAAAAAAAATTATGGGATTGGCTAATGTATATATTAATGTATACATATATGTATATATACATATATACATACGTATATATATATATACAAATATATATGTATATATACATATGTATATATATACATATATATATATATATACAAATATATATGTATATATACATATGTATATATATACATATATATATATATATATACAAATATATATGTATATATACATATGTATATATATATACATATACATATACATATATATATATATATATATACATACACACACATATATATATATATATATATATATATATATATATATATATATATATATATATATGTATATATACACATATATATGAATATATATACAAATATGTGTGTATATATATATATATATATATATATATATATATATATATATATATATATATATATATATATATATAAATATATATATATATACATATTTGCATATTTATACATATTTATGGCCAAACCCCCTTCACTACTTAAATTCAGGCCTAGTTATGAACCATTATGCAGTACGCATTTTATGCACAATATGGGCAATTTCATCTGTATCTTAAGAAATTTTTGTTTAACAAAATCATTGGAAATATTTAAAATGTTTTTTGATATCGTTTAAGCGGCATTTATTTACATTAAATTAATTATTGTAAAAAATGATAACCGCTTTTTTTTCTAATTTTTATTGAATTTTTTGATTAAAAAAAACAGACGGTTAAATAACTTTTCTATTAAATAAAAACTTAAACATGGTTTTAAAAAGTAAAAGTTTAACTTTAAAGGAATGTAAAATGATTTTGCAATACTTTTTAAAGAAATAATTCCTACAATCCTTGATTGATTCCCAAGAAATAAAACATAGATGACCAAGGAAGGAAAAGAGTTTAAAAAAAAAAGTGCTTTCTTTAAGTATCACCTAATCAAATGCAGGTATATTTTAAAGCTTTTTTAAGTTTGTTACAAAAAAACGAATTGAAAGATTGCAAGCTTTGAAAATGATTGGAAAAAATCCAGAGAATAAAAGGACGTTACATAAAAGAAGCATTGAAGAAACTAAACTTTTTATCAAACAGCACATTAAAAGCTTTCCTACTAAGGAAAGTCATTATCTTGGAAAACCTATATGCAATCTAGATGCCAATTTAAATGTTAAAATTATGTATAGGCAGTTTAAAGAAAAATACTTTCCAATAAAAGTTGGCGAAACAAAGTTTTTCAACTACTTGAAAGAAAACTTTTATCTTTTCTTTGGGAGGCCACAAGTTGACATATGCTGCACTTGTGAAGAACTCAATTTAAAGTTAAGAAGTCCTCGTCTTTATGAGGGAACAAAAAAAAAACTGAAAAGATCTGAACTTGATGTACATAAATGTAAATGTCTTATTGAGGCAGCAAAGAGATGTGCTCAATCTAAATTTGATTCATGATAAATGCAAACCGAAAAAGTTTTATGATCGAATTCAAAGAGACATCAATAAAAGGACAATAGTCAAATTTTATTATTTTGTTTTAACTTTATGCAGAACATAGAAATCCCAAAAATACCAGTGCAAGAAACCTTCTGTCTGAGACAAATTTCAATTATAGTTTTTTGTGTTCATAACAATAAAAGTAACAAAGTACACATTTTTGTTTACCACCAAGGCAGAGCAGGCAAGGGTCCAGATTTAGTGTGTTCCCTTCTATTTAAATATTTAATGAAGGTAGAGAAGCAGTTCACCGAACTCTACTTATTATCAGATAATTATTGGGGCAAAAATAAAAACCATTCATTATCTAGACTTCTCTTAGCCATGACTGATTTAAAGAAATTTGAAAAGATTGAGCAATTCTATCCAATAGAAAGGCACTCTTTTCTACCGTGTGATAGAGATTTTAGCATAATAAAGGGAAAACTAAATCGACATGATAGGCTGTACAGCAGATCAAGTATGTGACCTTATTTAGACATCCTCCATAAATAATAAATTTGTGGTACAAAAAGTTAAGTCTTCAGAAATTTTCAAGACGTGGTGGCCACAATTTTACTTCAAGACGTGGTGGCCACAATTTTACAAAAAAAGTTGTGTTTCAAATGAAACCAAAGGTAAGCAAGTTAAAAAGGACAAAAAGCAGTACTTTTTAATAAGCAAGTTCATGTACTGCACATATGATATAAAGTTTCCATCAAAGGTTATTGGCCGACCTTTCATTGATTCTATAATGAATCATAGCTTTTCCTTTAGAGCAACTGGTTGCCCAAATTTATGTTTTCCAAGTAAAAAAGCTTACCCTGCAAAAAAAAGCACCAATAAAGATTGAAAAAATTGAAGACATAAAAAAACTACAGCCCTACATTCCAGTGGAGTTTGAAGACATTTATGCTGAAATTTATGTGCCCAACAACAGAAGTTATTGAAGTTGAAAATGATGACTAATTTTTTGTTGCTTCTATTGCTTATTTCAGACTAAAGAGATTTCTTTGAAGATAGTATATATTTATAAAATTAGTTCTTTATACATAGGAGTTTATAAAAATATCGATTTCTTGGTGTTTTTAGTAAATAACATTATTTTTTACACACATTTAGCTTTTTTCAAATATGTGAAAATATATGACAGCATTGTAATTTTCATTAATCTAGCGTATTTCATCGTAACTGGGGTAAGAAAGAATTAATATACAAAAAATGACATCTTTTTGAATAAAAATAAAGATAATGCAAAGTTTTATTTAGTTTTCTCAAAACTATGTGTTGTTGACTACTCCATTTTTAGCATGAGCCAATTCATATGTAATATCAATTAAATGTAATGGAAATAAAACTAAAATTAATATGAGAACTTAAATACAAAAGGTAATACAAAAACAAAAATGCATAAACTAACAATTTAAAATTTTTTAGCAAAGATGTATGAAATACATTAACCACAAATTTTAAAACAAAAATAAAAAATTAATAATTTTTATATCATAGAACATATTTTTATATATTTTATATATTTATTAAATATCTTTTATCTCATAGAATATATATTTTTTACATACTGATCTAAAACACACATTACTAGGACTCTTTTTGAATAAAAAGAAAAGCTTTTGTTTGACTGGAAAAGACTTTGAGATTATTTTAAAAATCATTTCCAGATGAGATTATACCTCAAGGTTCTTTCCTTGGACCTTGGTTTTGTTTTTTATATTATTATTGATATTCCTGACAACTTTAAATCTAAAGTGGCTCTAATTTGTGATGACTAAACCGTATACTCCTGGCTTGACAAAGAGCCTTCTCTTTTTGATCGCTTAGAAAAGGCCAATCTTGAATCTCATTTCAGTAACAGATTGAGGCTTGCAGTGGTTAGTGAATTTTAACTCCAATAAAACTTAATTAATTACTGCAAACAACAAAAACTGAGTTGTCTTCTTTACATCTTATTATTGTTCACTAGTGATCTCTCACTAGTGAACAATAATAAGATGTAAAGAACTAACCATACACATACAATCGATTGCTAAAATAGTATCTGCTAAGGTTGCTTCTTTACCATGCTCATCATTTTCTTACTCCTGATTCTATTCTCTACCTCTACAAATCTCTTATTTGTCCCTGTATGGAATAATGTTGCCATATTTGGGTTGGTTTTTCTAATGATGCTCTTTCTCTTCTAGACAAGGTCCGAAAATGCAACTGAGCCAAGCTTGAGCTTCTCTCCTATCATTGTAAAATTGCATCTCTTACTTTTCTCTACAAATGCTATCAAAGTCACTGCTCAAAAGAGTTACCGTCTCTATTTTCATCAAACAAAACTCATTCTCACTTGAATGATCATTCAGCAAAATCTCATCCTTTTACTGTTTCTGTCCCTGCATTCTCTAAAAACTTTTATTTGTCTTTTTTTGCCACATTTCAAACCTTTGAAACTCTCTCCTCATAAAACTTACACCTGTTCAAGTTTTCGGTCAACTTTTCTTTGTTGATTAGTAATCAACTATTCAATCAACTATTCTTTGTTGATTAATAACTCCCAACTAAATAGTGGTTGCTTGCAGCCTTGTTGGGAGTGAAAATAAATTAAAAAAAACAAACAAATGTAAACTCTTATAAAAAAATCCTAAAGAAAAAGTCATTAGTAAAACCAAAACAGGTTAGAAAAACTTTTGTTTTGACGTGAGCTAGGTTTTTGCTTTGCTGGGTATTTTTGGGCAGGTTTTTTAATGACAACCTTGTCAAAACAGTATCCAAGAAAAAGTGCAATTATTTAAATTTATTTAAAAAAGAACCTTTATTTGAACTTCAAAATTAAAAAAAAAACTAATCACTTTTATTTTTTCAGATAAAACTATTTAAAATTGTTTTAAAAATTTTGAGAAATTAAAAACTTTAATGATTTTAAAAAAAGTTCTTGAAAATTAAATAACTCTAAAAAGCCTCTGAGTGAACTCAGAAACTGAAAAAACAATCAAATAATCATTAAAATAC